ACCTCATGACCTTCGCCTCTAGTGAAGGACAGTAGCGGGGGCCTGAAGATGTCAATTTCAGCGCATTTAGTCGAGTACGCAACCGGTAAGGCGCCTACCTTTCTTCGTTTCTTGTATATGAACGCAATTGTGAATGTTCGCTCTCACTATATCATGCGTCGATGGGGTAGTATGCGTCTGGTAGCAATACACCTGATTCGCCTGCATGATATGTGATCAGATTGCGCTCGTTATTCAGGCACGAAGAGACGTACCGCGTTGGCGACGACGTCGTTCATGAAGCTGAACGGGACCGGCTCCCGGTCCCCCTCTTGTATTGTGAGCCTAGAGAAGTCTATGCTATCCTTCGCAAGTCGTGCAGGGGTGCCCGTCTGCAAGCGGCCGAGGCGAAAGCCTGCGGCGTGGAGGGACGCAGACAACCCGACAGAAGGCGCTTCGTTCATACGGCCCGCAGGGAACCGCTTCATCCCTATACAGAAGAATCAGCAGCGAAGAAGGGGCGTCGTAAGGAGTAGCGCACCTATGTGTATCTCGCCCGACAGGAAGGTTCCGGTGCATATTACCACTTGAGAGCACGAGATGACCTCTCCGGAGTCTGAGAAAGCTTGAGTTTGTGCTATACCGACATTTGGGCATGTTCTGGGAGATTTACCGAGTTTGACTCCCCTGACCTCCGAGCGAGCGAAATCCTGGGAGATGGGCGGGGGCCCGAGAACTAGGTCAAAAACACTGCCTGCACGGATGTCCAAATTTGGGTAGCGGTCCAACGCTTCCTGCATGTGCTTCTTGTACAGTTTTCTGTCGACCTGTGCTCTGGGACTCTACAGGGAGTTCAGCGACACTCCAATCCCCCCCAAAATATAGTTCCCACCCATACAGCCGCCCCCTTGGAGCGGTTCAGCATCTGGAATTGGATACCAGCAGCATCTTTTGACGAGCGGGTAAGCCGACGATTTGTCAAACGTTCCAGCTGATATACTGGAAAGACCCTCACCTGTGACTCGGGAGCATAGCCCGTCGAGGGCATCTACCTCGCGCATGAGGGTGCCTTTTCCGACACCGCCCATGGACGGGTTGCATGACAGCTCGCCAATGGTGTTGAGTTTTTGCGTCAATAGCAAGGTGCGGGCGCCAGTCCTGGCTGCACCGGCAGCAGCCTCGCACCCGGCATGTCCGCCCCCTATTACACAGACTATGAGGCATTGTGTCAGTAGTTATCTTCGCTTAAGGAGACGTATAAACACACCGTCGTACGCCAGAGGACTGGCCGCTGAACTGAGCGACGCATATGTTCTTTGTGTGCAGTGTTTCCGCGCGACTCGTGCCGCCGTTATACACCTCCTCATTCGGTGAAGAGTACTTGACACCCTCTCTATGCTTTCTTCCGCTGTTGTTATCTGAGCGGCGTGCGGGTCACACACAACGTACAAACACACCTCGGTAGTACAACCGGGTTCGTGGCGGGCTAGGACGAATGCACGCGGATTGGGAAAACGGGATTGCGTTACATAATCAAGTAGATTGACATAAGCGCTCGTGAGTGTTAGTCCCCGCTAGTACCAGTACTAATGACCCTTGTCATCCCATGGTCCACTTTACAAGCTAGGTGGAACCGCAAGCACGTCCCATTCAATCTGTGATTGTTTTGGGAAGGATGCGGCAGAAAGGGTGATACGTGGTTGGACCCAGTCTGGGGAGTGAGACCAGCGGTGTGTTCATCTCCAGATCACTCTGGCGAGATAGCTTGCGCAGGTCAGCAACGTAGCCCGTTGGCTGTACAAGGCCTATCGCCACAGGCTATGAGCTGTAGAGCCAGTGCAAGGCCGAGAAATATGCGTGGGTGACACGGCGTCGAGTATTACTGGCAGTGCAAGTCCTGTGGAAAATGCTTTGTCATTGTTAGTGTCAGTTAATGATTGAAATACATTTTGACAAGCTGTGTAAGGTCCAAACGTAAGGCCCCAATCTCCCTAGGGCAGCCAACATGGTGTGTTCTGCTGGACGTCTGGCATAACGTCGGACTATCATTACCACGGGTTTTTTGCCAGTGTGAAGAGTTTTAAGATCAGGCTTGGGACCATCAATGGTCACACATCAATTCATCCCCATGCTTGATATCGGACATGTGCGGATACGGGGCTCATGCCAGAGGTTGTGAGCGTCGGCCCTGGCCGTAGGATAAGTGGAAGTTGAGTCGAAGACTGCACTTGCCATTCGGAGCGCTGGTCGCCAGTATCTTACGTAATCACTCTCGGACCTTCAGACGAGACCCTGTGGATTTTTTGACTTACCTTCGCACTCCCAACTCGTTCCATCTGCTTTGCTGTTCCCTGTCTCCTTGGTTCTGCTTAACTTATAACATACCTGAAACGAAACTATGGGCGCGTACTACGACGAGGTGGAGATCGAGGATATGGTCTGGGACGAGGAAAAGCGGGTGTACCACTACCCGTGCCCGTGCGGCGACCGCTTTGAGATCTCGAAGAAGCAGCTGAAGAACTACGAGGACATCGCGACGTGTCCAAGCTGCAGTCTTGTTATACGAGTCATATACGATCCGGTGCGTAGGGTACTCTGATCAAAGACGGTCCAGGAAGCTCATGTCTAGTAGCTTGATTTCGAGGATGAGCCCTCCGATGATGAGGATGAAGGCGCCTCCGCAAGCGAGGAGGAGGAGGAGAGCGACGACGAGAGCGGCGATGAGGCATTTGAGGATGCTCTCGAGCACCTCACCATCTCCGACGAGCAGCCCAAGGCTATCGCCGTCGCGGCATGACTCGGTCCAGTGAGTTCCCTCCCATACTCATTCTTCAACCGCGTCGACTCACGCGTTTGACGTTCATGTAGTAAAACACCTGCATCTATCAGCCCGTCCTGCCGCTTTCGATCTCTCTTCTACACGCATCTGTATCCACTAGCTCTGAGGTATGCGGATTTGACCTTGCTCCTCATTACATCCTCATCTTACCGCATGTTTGCCAGACGCCACTGCACTGTATTTTACACATCTATCTGGATCTACCTATGATATCCTGCTGCTCGATCGAAGCCCTACTTGTTGCGAACCCCGCACCATGCTAGGTCAAGGAGGTCCTGCGACCTGGCATGACACGGGAGGGGTGAGTCCTGCGTCCTTCCCTCTACAACCTTGTGCGGCACTAGCCCCTCGGACGCAAGACAACCATATGCTTCCAGTATCATCCCTCCGCGACAAATCGGCCTAACGATTACGCCCAGTCGATGCTCTTGCATTATCTTCGGGACAGCTATCCCTCCCTCCGTGGATTATGCGCACATCTCGGATATCTAAATCCTTTGTTCTCGATGCCTCCCTGCGCGTTCTTCGTATGGCATTGCCTGTGCTGCACAGGCTTCTGCGTATGTAAGACGTCTCCGCAATCATTCATTCATCCTCGTGCAACCACACACGTCCATGTCCGCGCCTGCTCACCGTTACAACAAAGCGTCCCGCGGGGTTCCGAGATCGTCGCGGCTCCCACAGATCCTTGCGTAAAGCGACTTCTCAGCAGGTTCTCGCCGTCACCCCTGCTCTCACGTAGACTCCCACCGCCTTCTCGAAGCGCTCTCCAAGCCTCAGGCAATGCTCGTTCTCAGGAATGCGGCCGTTCTCATTGACTCTGCCGCTACTCGTCCGCATGTGCATCCATCATCCTCACCGCCCCAAAGCGGAATACGAGCGCTCTGATTGAGCGAAAATACGGGGTCACGTGAGCCTCGCACGTCAGCGCGCAACATCCTCACGCAATCGCAGCTTGTGCATTCGCGACGGGCCGCATCCTACAAAACCAATCCGTCCGCCATGGCCGACCAAGCTGCTCTTCCCCGACTTCCCTGTCCGCTGCGAAATAGCCCATCAGCATCCGCCAGCGATGGATACCCTCCCACTCGAACTTCACGCACAAATATTCGCGTTCGCTTGTACGGACGATGGGTCGACCGCGCGCTCCCTTTCCCTGGTCTCAAAATACGTTCGCGAAGTCGCAGCACCCTATCGCTTCCAATCTCTCGCGATCTCAGGCATGGAGCAAATGAGCGAGCTCGTCACGCGCCTTGAAGCCACCCCTCCACATCTTCGGCGCATCCGCCACTTATTCCTCTCCGACTGGACGCACGCGCAGACGAAGGAGCGCATCGTGCGCACCTCGGAAGAAGCTCAGGACCGGTACCTGCTCGAGAAGACGCTTGCGCTGCGTATACTCGCTGCGGCCGCGCCCACCATCGAGACGCTGGCGGTCCTGGTCGCGTGCCCGTACACTGGCCCTCCACTTCTCGGCGCACTCTTCTCCACCGCGATGCCATGCCTGACGGAACTCTCGGTCCACGGTTTCTACCCTTTCCCTCACACACCGAACACGATGCCCCGTCTAGAGCGGCTACGGTTGTCGGGGAACCGGAACCCGAACGGACTGTTCGAGTTCGGCGCACTCGACTCGGCCTGTCCGTCGCTCACACACCTCACTTTGTCCGGTGTCATAGCCGCCACCGCGTTCGCGGAGGAGCTCCGATCTGCGCTAGAGCCTCGAGGAGGCGACATGCCCACAGCCAGGTCGCCCTCTCCTCCCTACCCGGTCACGCTCCCTTCCCTCCTGCGACACGTCACAGTAGAAGCTCAGTCCCCCATGACGAATGATGTTCGTGGCGCCGCGGCATTGCGCGGTCTGCAGTACCTGCATGGCAAGATGCTCACGTCGTTGCGGGAGTCCGAGGCTCGTGAGGATATGCCCGTGCGTCTCTGCGTCGTTGAGCGGAAGGGAGAGGAGGACGTCCACCTAGCCTTGAGCCGGAGCTGGTCATGTAGACTGTCGCCAAACCCTGCATAGTCCCTCACCCCTCCACTTTACACGAATGCGTTCGTATCCGCATCGACCTCGCCATACTTGCAGCTTCATACCTTACAGCATCTGTAGATTGATTCCACGGATAATGTTGAAGTGGGGCGCACTGCCATCATAATTACACAGCGGTATAAAGTTTTTAGCGGGTCGGTGGCGTAGTTGGTTATCGCATCTGTCTAACATCGTGCAAGTTCACAGAAGGTCCTCAGTTCGAACCTGGGCCGACTCAGCTTTTTGTCCCCCGGGGACTCGTGGTTTATTGACAAAGGACATTCACGACCTTGCTCAGCAAAGTTACTCGAAGATACACTAAGGTAAGGTAAGAAGATAGTCACCGTCATGAAGAACGGTTGAATTCATTTGTTTTTCCTGGTTCGCCGTTGTATGCGACCACGTCGCTTCACCGGCTTATGCCGGTCGACTCTCGTGTCCATCCGTTTAATGTCTCGACTTAGACTTGTCACTCTCCCTCATACCCCAATCGCGCCGCATTGGCATGGCCGCCGGCCGTTGGGTGTGGCCCTAGTCCGGCCCTTTTACACATGTAGCTATTCTTACCCCCACCGGCGGTGCGGATGGCTAGCGAACGAGGCCGACTGAAGACCTTTGAACTCAAACTGCAGTACAACTTCCTAGTACGTTCAACCGCGTGGGTCGTCTCCGCTCTTTACGCGGCATTGTCCGTTTCATATCCAACGATCCATCTGAATGTGCGATTCATGACCTTTCAAGGATCTGATATAAGGTCGGCGGCGTTGGTTCAGCCTGCACCCGTCAGTGGACTTGCGCCAACATCTCTCCTCTGGTAACTACCATCCTCTCTGCTAGCGATCGATGTCGCTCATCCGCCGCCCACAACAGAATACCAACCCATCGCGATGTCCTTGGAGCATCCTTGGGAGGATGGGCAATGGTTGTTCCTCGCGGGATGGAGAGACTTGATTCATGAACCGATCTTCGCGGAGGCACCCATAGCGAGCCTAGAGGCGCAGGCAACTCGTACATGCGTACACGACCTTCCAGACGAGATGATACAGGAGATCTTTGGGCGAGTGCTATCGGGAGCGGCGTACCAGGCCCCATGGTCCGATAGGAGCTGGAAGACCAGATTCTCGCCTCCTACGACATTGGCCACCATCAGTTCTGTCTGCCGCAGGTGGAGGTTCTGTGCTATCAACCTCCCGGCTCTGTGGCAGGACGTCCTCGTCTACCAACACACAATGTGGCTTAGTATCTCCATGGCACGATCTGCGAAGATGCCCCTCAACCTCGCCTTCGTTACCCCGAAGGCATTCGCCGCGAGCGAAAACCTGTTGTCGCGGGAACGCCATCGAATCCGCACCCTTGTTGTATGCCCCATGCAGAACGACGACGCGCTAGTCGGCATCGACAAGCTATTGAGCCGAACCATGCCCGTCCTGGAGCGTATTCACATCAACGGTTCGTCGTACAGGGGCTTCCGGTCCTTCGGTCACAGTTCGGACACAGAACATCCTTCCTTACACAGCATCAGCCTCATTGACGTGACCCTCGACTGGCACTCTCCCTTCCTTCGGCAACTGCGTTCCATCGTTCTCACTAACACGCGCAATGCCTTTCGTGGTCCATCGTTCACGGAGTTCCTACTGTGTTTGGAAGCATGCCAAAACCTGGAAGAGCTAGAGCTGATCAACGCCTTCCCCGTAGGTCACCACACAAGGCAGCCTTGGGAAAACGGTGGCGAATCTCCTCCAGACATCACCCTGCCCAACATGCGACGTCTCGCGCTGGCCTTTCCCCCTCCTCCGAGCGAAGCCACCGACCTGCGTATGTTTCTGTCGCACGTCGGCCTGCCCCCCTCCGCAGAGCTCCAAATCCGCGCCGAGGTGTATATGGGCCGCAACGGGTTGCCTGGGATGCGTACCTTCCTCAAATACATTCCGAGCAACACACGGCACCTTCCCATGCTGAGGACCGCGAAGCGTCTGATCATCTCTCCGGGTGCATTCACATGGGAAGTCGAGAGCGAAGGGCACATCCACCGATCTTGGGTCAGCCTCGTCTCCTCTGACAGAGATCACATACCCATCCAATCCAGTACGCACGTGCGGGACATACTGGAGCTCTTCTTCAAGGCGCCGCTGGAATGCGTGGTCGTGCAGGGCGTCGACGGATCCATAGCGGCATGGCAGGAATTCCTGGGGCGCTTCGCTGCGCTCACCGAGCTCGTCGTGGAGTGCTCCATGCCTACATTGGGAGGTACGACAGACGTGCCGCCGGTGCTCAAGGCTCTCGGGAAGCCCAACGTGGCTCTCCCCAAGCTGCGCGTTTTACGCGTCCGACAGGTTCGATGGGATCCGGAGTTGCTGAAAACCATCACTTGTTCGTTGAGACGTCGCGCTAGACGAGGGCTACTGCGTGTATCAGAGCTGGAACTCACCGTGTACGGCCGGCCTTTGGGGGACCCTCTATACGTCACGAGCTTTGAGGACGAGCTGGCATCGATGAGCTGTTGGGTGGACGGGCCGGTCACCTACCTGAATATGGGGAGAATTTATCTCTAGTTCGATAGTCGCTGTGCGTTTTCGTTCCGGACTTCTTTTCATATACGCACATAGTCACATCCGCTGTACTGCACGTCCCCACTATATCTGGAGTTCGATCGATTAGCAACGACCGGGACAAGTGGGGCTGGGGCGGGCATACCGCGTCTCCTGTCAACGCCTACCTGATGCCCTACGCGTTCAACGTTCAACCCTCAACCGGTACCGATCTCCGACCCTCCGTAGGAGGCGCTGTCGAGGACACCTCCACCTCGTCCGGCAAGCCTGCCTCCTTCCACGCCGCGTAGCCGCCAATCATATCGGTCGCGTTGAGCAGGCCGAGGTCGTGCAATGACGCCGCAGCGAGCGAGGACGTGTAGCTCTCCTGGCAGAACACGATGACCCGCAGGTCGTACCTGTCCGCGATCGGCAGCCGGTACGCGCACCGGGGGTCGAAGCGCCACTCTAGCACGTTTCGCTCGACGACGAGCGCACCCGCGATGCTTCCAAATGTCTTTCGCTGCGCCTCGGGCCGGATGTCAACGAGCACGACGGGCCAGAGCATCGCCGTATCCTGGAGCTCTTCGAGGGCCTGTTGGGGAGTTATCCGCTGGAGCCGGGCACGGGCGTGATCGAGGATCTGGGAGATGCTGCGGGAGCCGGGAGGGGGGTTGAGCGGGTCCATAGGTTGGCGTGCGGCTTTCCTCGCGGCGTCCCACAGCGCGGCCTCGTCGAAATTCGAGGTCGCGAGGTCGCGGATGAGCGCGCCCCAGCGGCCGTGCCGGAGGTCATGTTTCTCTACTCGGCGCAGGAACTTCGACTTCACGAGGATGCCAGCGCGCTCGGCCAGCTCCTCGGAGGAACTGCAAATGAGGACGGGGCTGGTGCCCGGGTGCGGTAAGGCGAGCACGAAGAGGTACGACTGGTGCTTGGGCGTCATAACGCGCTTGAGCTCGGATGCGACCGTGTTGAGGAACTCCTCTCCCGAGGCGTATGGTAGCGTGAGCACGACGCCGACTTTGGTGCCCTCGACGGTTTCGGCTTCGCGCGTGGCTCGCAGTACGATCGTTTGAGCTACCTGTTCGCGGACTGGTCCCAGAACGTCGGGAGAAGCTGATCGGTGGGAAGAAGCTATAGGACTATATCCCCCCACAGCACCGGGGCGTGGAGACTCGGGCTGTCCGATAACCTCCCCATAGCTGGACGTAGATCGAGAAGACGAGCTAGGCGTCCATTGACGGTATCCATGAGACGCGTGCGACATCTATAGACACATAGTTGAGCATGAACCAGGGGATTGTAACAATAGTATACTTACATCTGTACGGCGAGTTCAAACGCGTAAGTAGTAATTGAGACCTGACAGGCTTGGTGGACGTCGGACGACCTTGGGGATTTGTTCAGTTTCAACTCTCGGACGCTAGAGATCAAATCAGGCTCAGGCCGCCGAGTCCCTGGATGACGGAGGTAGTAGCTATAAGAGCCGCTGCGCGGTCTACAACTTATGGCTCTCACGTCGCCTAGTGAGAGATACAAACTTCGCAGCTTCGAGGTACGTGCAGTACATATGCGATAACGACGGTGTACTTATCGGGATCCGAGCGGGTTTGAACCTTGTATTGCTTTGTGCTTACCTAACGTTAGTACCAAAAGTGATCTGAGGTTATACGGACTTACTTACAAGCGAGACCCCATGCCACTTAATTTTACGGAGCGCTCAGTTTTATCGCTGGGCCCTTCCTACTGCCATACGGAATCCTGTCATTTCGGACTCCATCCTGACTGAAACTGGAGCTCCTGTTAGCACGCTATCAAGTAGGACTTCTTAACGGTGTCGCGACGGCGACAAACGCATCGGATGTCTGGTGTCTATCGAAAACTATACAACCTCTTTCACATGTCGGCTAGTTGGAACCAGTGATCAAAACCCTCGACATTCATCTGACCCAGCGTGGTCTTCTGATGGTGACCCTATATCCAAAGGATTCGCGTTCTACAATCGCTGCGCCGCACCGTTAACTTCGTGCTCAGTCCTTCCTTCCGATCGCCATTGTAGGACGTTCGGCGCATCGCCGATTCACTTCGAGAGCGAAGGGACCGTGGCTCAAAGTTGGAAGTTCTGTCTTTGGAATTGATGGGCTCGAATTTTGTGGATGACGATACGCGAGCTTTGTAGTGGGTGCTACTTTAGTCAGACCTTTTTTGTAACAGTTGATGTTCTCGCACCTGTAGCAGAAACCAGAGTCAAATGTCACATCACGGAGCTAGACGCTGTGTGTATGATATTACGAGTAGACAGGTACGACGGTGGTCAAAGACGGATAGAAAGCAATGGCAAGGAGGGTTTATTCAACACTGTACGGGTGGACTCGAGACCTATCGTGGTGAACTCGGATTCGGAGTGCTACATCGTCCTGTATCCAGTAGTACGGGTATTGTAAGATTATGAGTGGGCTTGGAACAGAGATATGACGCTACTCAAGTGTACAGCCCCATCTGTCTGTGAACGTCAACACGAACTTGACGCACACCATCGCTTCTAGCCCCCTACAGTACTTTGCGGCCTTCGCCATCTTTCGTGCTTTCTCCTCCCACCTGACCGTGAGTTCCAACTCCTGTAGCGGCGGTGCACCGAGCCCCGAGCGTACGCACAGGAAGCTATGCAAGTCATCCGCTAATCTTCCTTTGTGCCAATCGTATGGCCCCA